TTAGTTCCTCAACACCACTCAACAAACAGCAGCAGCACGACGAGTACACACCGCTGGTCTGGGGGTAGACCAGCTGCATGCACACACAAACCCCCTCAACCTCTTCTTCATTTGTTTAACTCTATTACAAACGCTAACAGCAGCAGCGGTGGCTGCTGAGTAGTAAATTACCTAGCAGCACCAGTAGCACCAGCACCAACAGCAGCAGCAGCAGCAGCAGCAGCAGCGGCAGCAGCAGCGGCAGCAGCAGCGGCAGCAGGAGAGCTATTAGCAACAGCAGCAACACCAGCAGCACCATAATGAAGACTCACCTCATTCGGTGATTCATATGCCCCCTTCTTTCTCCTGGGTGCTACTGAGCAGCAGCAGCACCTGCAGCAGCAATTGCAGCAGCAATTGCAGCAGCAGCAGCAGCAGCAGCAGCAGCAGGGATTGACTTGAATATAATTTCATAATGTTTAAACATGCTATAGGAATAACGCGGGAGGAAGATGTGGAGGATGCAGAGAGAAGAGAGCCGCTGGTGAATGGCTATCACTCATCTGCTGCTGCTGCTGAAGCAGCAGCAGCAGCAGCAGCAGCAGAAGCAGCAGCAGCAGCAGCAGCAGCAGCACAAGCAGCAGAAGAAGTAAACGATGAAGTATTAGTAACAATAGCAGCAGCAACAGCAGCAGCAGCAGATTCTGTTGATCATTTTCCTTTGTTAGCATCTACAGAGCCTTTGTTGTCTCCTGCAGCAGCAGCAGCAGCAGCAGGAGCAGCAGCAGCAGCAGCAGCAGAAGTACCAACAGCAGCAGCAGGAGAACTATACCCATCTACCTCTGCTGCCCCTCCTCCTCCTCCTCCTGCAGCAGCAGCAGCAGCAGCAGCAGCAGCAGCAGCAGCAGCAAGAAGAGGAGCTGGGTGGAGTATAAACAACCAAATAAAAAAAAAAAATGTTATATTAACGCTTATATTCACTGCTGTTGCTACTGTTTTCTTCTCTATTACCCAGGGCTCTATCTTTGATTTATATATCTTTATATTAGGAAACCACAGCACCAAGTATGTTTATATATATATATATATATATATATATATATATATATATATATATATATATATATATATATAT